TATAGAAGTGCTTGTGAAGGAAAAGGAGGTAAAGCCCAAGAGGAGGTTCCCTTACAATAAAGAATCTTGTGATGACCAGAGTTTTGGGGCTATAGACTGTCAGCCATTGCTTCTCAACTGTAGGTGCACACTTTCATAACATTAATTTTAGAAGTCCATGGGCAGGATTTTTAGTGACATAAAATAAAATGAAAATAGACTATTATATGCAGTATGAGTACAAGTTATATTGAAAACTTTTTGATAAGTGTGTTCTGGGTCATGGATGCAAAATGTGTGGAAGTTCTTTCTTTAAGCAATGAGGGGGAGGAGGGGGGAAGAGGAGGGGAAGGGTTAAACGGAGAAAGGGAGGAGGTCCTATTTGCATAGATCTGGACTTGGGTGTCCAATTAGACCTGGGCAGCATAGGGAGGGAGAAGGGATACAAGGAAATACCATTTTTTGAGGAGGAATTAGGGAGGGAGCAGGTAGGAGAGAAGTAGCTGTGAGGCAAGAGTTTGAGTTGCCAGTGGCCTTCTAGGTGGATTCTGATGAAAGGCTGGAATTTTTGAGAGATTCTGGTTGAAGATAGGAATTTGGGAATGCTGTAGGATTAGGGAGGAAGCTGGAGACGTATTGGGGGAGGGGCTGGGTAAAACTGTTCTAGAAGCACCAGTGAAAAAGGATGGTGGTACTTCAGCTGGAAAAGTTTGCCATCCCAGGGCAAACATTTAGTCATGAGATAAGACTTAGCCGGTGCTCAGAATACCATCCACAAAGTTTGTTACCCAGCACAATTACAAATTGTGTATTAGAATAATGTGTGTGCTCTAGTCTTCAATGGCCCCAAAGCTGACCTGTTTCAGAATAATTCAGAGAGCTTTGTGACTATACATAGATTCCAGATTCCAGGATCCTGTATCCCAAACCAGGGCTATGAAATAAAAATATTTAAGGGAGGGCCTCCCTAGTGGCACAGGAGTTAAAGTCTCAGCACTACCAAGCTATCTCCAGCCACTGTGACATGGGTTAGCTCTCCAGCCAGGGAACTAACCCACATGATGCAGCAGACCTCTCCTGTCTTGCCTGCTGCTCTCCTCAGTAGTGTATTTCAGTAGATCTTGCCTGTTTTGCTCCCCACTCTGTCTCTGGTGAATCCTCTCCCCACCTGTACCTCTGGCCTACACCCTAGTTCTTGCATGCATAAATAAATAAATCTTTAAAAACATATATCTAAGGGAGAGACAAGAGGACCTGTTTTTTTAAAAAAAAAAAAAAACTCCTGAAACTGATAGCCATCCCCCAAAAAAGAGAACTCTACCTGCTAATATGAATGATCTCTAAATATATTTTTAAAAAAAGGTATGTTAGGATATTACATGTTAGCATAAACACAAATACTGAGCAACCCAACAAAAAACTGCTCCCAGAACTTCATTTTCAGGGAGGAAAACAGAGTATTTGGGGACAGGAATGGGAGGATTTACCTGGATCATTTTGGGTATCATTTGAATTTGTACCACATAAATTGATTACTTAATATTTTTTTAATTTATTTATTTTTATATAAGAGCTGGGGTACAGGCCAGAGGCGTGGGAGGGTAAGAAGATTCACCAGAGACAGAGCGGGGAACAGAACAGGCAGACGACTGAAATACACTGCTGAGGGGAGCAGCGGGCGCTGCTCCCTAATCCTACAGATTCCCATGTGGGAATCTCCCTGGCTGGGTGGGAATCAAACCCGTGCTTCAGAGGCTGCGGACAGCTTCATAGGGCTGTGCTCAACCCACTGCGCCACTGGGGAGCCCCGATTACTTAATATTTAAATAAAGTCAGCACTTCCCAGATGATTGTGATAAGGAGTTAGAATTGGGGAACCCCCAATTCTAAATACTCCCCTCACTTCAACATCTAGGACACAGGTCATACAGCCTCCTGGACTACTCATTCCATCTTAGAATGCTTTTACTTCTGACTTTCCTTCTTAGTATTGCAACAGGGTGGTCCCCAGGAAAGGGGGAGGTTCCCTGCCCCACCCAAGGGAGGGTGGAGCTGAGCAGCAAGAGAAGAAGCTGCAGAAGAGACTGAGGAAGGAAGCAGGATGGGGCAAGGAGACCTGGAGGAGGCACATGGAGCCTAGAGACATGTGAAGAAACTGCGCTTGTCTTTTGGGTTGTGGACGGGGTGACACAGATGTGGGTGAGACCCGTGGGGAGGTGACAATGGCAGCTTTTATCTGGATGTTGATTTTGCTCTTTTCCTTCCGGGCTTGTCCGGTTGTTTCTGACCCTTTTCTGTGGGTCCCCACAGGAAGATGCTTTAGACTTGTGGCAGGCTTTGGGGCCTTGCTCTGGGCCGACCCCATATGGATGGAGTTTTACCCACGAGGGGATGGGTAACTTTGGGTGCTTCATTTAGAAACTAAACTCTTTGCCTTACCTGTATTGTTTCCTAGTTTTTATTAAAGTTCCTTCCCATTAAAGCGTCATATGTTTTGTGTTGATGCGGCGGATGGCAGAACCCATTTAAAATAGGCAGGTTTGTGGGGGTCTGGGGTGCCCCTCTCCCTGTCCTATAACAGATTTGGCGTCCAACGTGATTTAGGACATAGCCATCCGTGGTTAGTCAGCCCCATTGCCCCTCTCCCTGTCCTATAACAGTATTATCCTGAAACCTGGCAGCCTCCAGGGAGGCTCATGCCACCTCAAGTAACCATACAGAATAAATCCAAGTCTTTACAGTTGGGTGAAAGAATGGGCATTTAGAAGACATTAAATAAGAAAATTAGTCTTAAAATCAATGGGATTGTTTTTGTTTTAATAAGGGGAATTCCTTCTTTAAACAGAATTATGTAGGATGTTGCCATAAGTATTGAAGATTAAAAATTCAAGCCTGTTGCTACCAAGGAGGGGTAGGAAGAAGCCAGAAGTCTGGTGTTTGATAGACACAGTTGTGACCCACCTCTCTCATTACCCACAGGTAGACTGAGATCTTCTTCTTCCCCCTGCATCATTTTCTCCCTCGCTCAGTTTCCCTAGTTCAAAGTACCACTATCTTAGAGTAGGACTATTGGGATTCCCATCTGAACTTGTGTCCCCACTTCTACCAGCTGATAGTTGCTCTATCAGTTTTCCACTCTGCAGCAAGGGTTATCTTTTTTAAATGTAGATGTAAACTCCTTGTGTCCCATTGCCTTTGAGATAAAGTCCAAATTTCAGAATTTGGTCTACTGGTCCCTGCAGCCTATACACTGGCCCCTCCCCAATCTCCTTTGCTCCCACTCATTCTCTGCCCCACAATGGGGACTCCTTCCAATCTCAAAGTTTTGCTTAAGTCCTGTCCAGGTGCCTAGAACACTTTCTCCTAGCTCCTAAAGATTTATCCTGCTAGTCATTTCTTCAGGTATTCTCTAACCTATCATAATAGATCAGACTCCCTTCTTAAACTCTCTGAAACATGCAGTGCTTGGAATGTGAAGATAACAGGGAAATACATCAGTCAGGATGTTTCAGATTAGAGCTATCCTGGAAAGGGTGTTAGCTGAGTGAATCAGGTATTGGGGTAAGGAGGGCATTCCAGGTACATCTCCAGGAAAGCATTTACCCTATCTGTTTAAATCTGGCAAACTGGTGGGGTTAGTAGAGACTGAGTGAGCAAAAATGGACTTCCCCCAAACAAAACCAGACTAGAATTCAGAAGTGCCAATTCACAGTGCAGGACTTTTCTCTTCCCCTTGTGCTGCACTAGGACTTTGGAGAGTATTCCTAAGCAAATGGAGAAAATGCTTGTTAAATTACCCTTTTCGTTTTGCTTCCATTTCACAATAAAAGATGGCTCCCAAACGTAGTAAAAATCAGCCGTAACACTTTTCAAGCTTTAAAACGAAAACAACAGGGCCTCCCTGGTGGCCTAGGGATTAAGTTTCAGCACTACCACCACTAAGACCCACTGAGATTGTTATAGAGCAGCCCCGAGATGACCTGAGTTTGATCCCTGGCCAAGAAGCTAGCCCACATATGACACAGCAGACCTCTCCTACTCCGCTGCTGCTCCCCTCAACAGTATATTTCTGTCAGTCTGCTTGTTCTGCTCCCTACTCTGTCTCTGGTGAATCGTCTCACTGCCCCCCATCCCCCCCAATCTCTGGCCTACACCCCAGCTCTTGTATGCATAAATAAATCTTTTATATATGTGTATATATATAGTCACCTATAAAATGGGGATGATGCCTTTCTATAGAGTTATTGTAAGAATGAAATGAATACATATAAAGTAATTAGAAGTGTGGGGCACGTAAGTACTATGTAAGCGTTATCTATTTTCATTTTTAAGGCATTGCTATCTAGGCTCTCCCCGTGGGATAAGAAAGGGTGAAAGAGGAGAAAAGGATTCTAAGAAAATATGTAAGGGCTAAAATGGAGAAGGGGAAAGAATGTTAGGCCCCCAGCTCAGCCGGTAAGTAGGGTTCAAATCAAGTGTGGCCAGGCGGTGGGCTGGGAGGCAGAGACCAGTCCTGGGGTCATAAAGTTTCCTCCCTCTTTATAAAGTGGGGGTCCATAACACTGCACAGCTATAGGTCCAGTCAAGGCTGGGCCACGCCTGACGTCCAGCGGCCCGGAGGGCTTTCTGTGGCCTCCACATCCTCCCAGGGCGTCGGGTGAGGGCTGGGCGGGTCAGGTAAGTTCCAAGGAGGGTAGGAGGTGACAGGATTACCGCGCGGGGTGGGAACTACGCTTCCCAGCATGCAACGGACCAAGAGGGGCCTTCCGCTTAGAGCGGCGCGCCTCGCAGGCTCCGCTGGGAGTTTTCATTGCCCTCTGAGCCCCTACCCTTTCCGATCCGCTCAGGTCTCCGCTAGGCCCCTCCCTTTCCAAGAGCGGGTGCCCTCGCAGAGTCCCGCGAGCTACCGCCTTCTTCCCCTCTCATTGGTCTAGCCTCGCTGCCACTCCGGTGCGAGGAGGAGAAGCTGCCTACGGATTGGTGGATTCCGTTTGGCGCCAACTAGGAAAGGGGGGCGGGGCAGCGGCGGTCCCCAGTGAGCAGCTATTTACCGCGAAAGGCCACCTCGGCGCGACAGCCCGGGAGGTGAAGGCTGGCCCCTTTCTCTGCGGCTCGGGCTGGGCAAAGGGGTGAGAGAAAAGCCAGGAGTGCGGCAGCCCAGGCCGTTGCCTCGCGGCTCCCGCCGCTCTCCCTTGTCGACCCGCTGCGTTTGTTTGGATTTAATCTTCAGGTTGCCGGCGCCCGCCCGCCCGCGGGCCGCGCGGGGTGAAGGGGAAGCACCCGTGCATGTGGCTGGCGCCTGCCGGGGCCGGACACCCACCCGTCCGCGCCGCTTGCCCGCGGCAGCCGCGCCCGTGAACCTCGGGGTCGTGTTTGTGTTTGACCCGCGGGCGCCCGCGACAGGGCGCGCGGCCGAGGCCGGTGCCAGCGGGGCGGGGCGGGCGCGGCGGAGGCGGAGGAAGAGGGAGCAGGAGCCCAGGAGGCCCGGCGCCGCCATGGAGCTGGGCCCGGAGCCCCCGCACCGCCGCCGCCTGCTCTTCGCCTGCAGCCCCCCTCCCGCGCCGCAGCCGGTCGTGAAGGCGCTGTTTGGCGCACCTGCCGCCGGGGGTCTGTCTCCTGTCACCAATCTGACGGTCACCATGGACCAGCTGCAGGGGCTGGGCAGGTACGGGGGGGACGGATGAACGGTGCTTTAGGCCTCTGGCCTTCCAGACGGCTCGCGGGGAGATCAGGCCGGGAAGCCGACAGGGAGAAGGGCGAGACCTATAGGCCCTGGTCTGCCGCTGGTCTGGGGCCCGCCATGTGCACCCTCCCCCCAGGCGGAATGTTGGGCGGGAGAGGCCGTTCGGACCCTCCAGGGCCGCTCTTAGTGCCCGAGACAGGCCTGGTAGCGGAGTGGGAAAGGCCCGGGTCCCCCAACTTCGCCACCCTTTTCGGATTGCTCTGTACTCCTGTCCCTATCCCAGGAAACTCCTTGAAATCCACTCTCGGGGTTGGGGGGTTGGGGAGCGGAGGCTCACCCTTTGCTGGAGCACCTCGCTGGATCATAGTTTCCTGTGAGCTTTGTTCCTTCTCAACAAAGGGACGTGGCATTTTATTTCCTGGTGTTTGTGCATAATCCTCAATCCCTCGCCCCGTGCATATTCCTGATGTCTACCTAGATGCTGTCTAAGGCCAAGCCTTTTTTTTTTTTTTTTTTTTTAACTAAACTTCTCCATAACTGGAAAGAGCCCTGGACTTTTTCTTGTTAAAACATGCATCTCACAGTGTGTCTGGTGATGCCTCTTTCTTTTCAATCGTGGATATCCCAATTTTTAAGTAAGTACATGTCTTCCAACTTCTCTGAAATGCTGGAACTTATATTCATCTTTCATCCCTGCTCCTAACACAGTACCTAGATAACATGCTCATTGCAGGAAATACTCCCAACTTTTATCACCATCATTCTATTCTACAGTATGAACCAGGCCCTCCAGTCCTTTCTCTTTTCCTTTTGTGCCCAAATACTAACTGAGTGTCCTGGGTGGCAAAATGGAATCTGTGGTATGGCCTAGAAGTAATGATGGTTGCTGGCAGCCTGGCTACTTATTAGCCTCATGGCCTGTCTCCTGTATGTAGCCTTTTAACTGTATTTTTGAAATACATAGAAAACTGTTTCTCTCATTTTCAGTGAGTGTGAACAGCCACCGAAGGCAAGAAACAGCAGTTTGCAGAGAATGGGCTCCTCTGAGTCAACAGATTCAGGTATTCTTTTAATCTTAAAGATTTATCATTGTTTGCTTTGTGGGAAGAACAATACTTGGAATTTGCTAAAACATGTGCTTTCACCTAGGAATTTAGCTTGGTGAGTAGTTGGGACAGAACTCAGGGAAGTGACAAACACCCTTGAGACCAGCACAAAGGAGCCACTGTGGTAGTTTGTAAAGAAAGGAAGCAAGGAGGTGATATGTATCTGTAGTAAAGTAAAATGAACCACACATCATCTTTAAGTGGCATTCGAAAATCTTGTTGGTTAAGATGCTGGTCAAATTGTTGGCAGGATAATGAAATGATTTCAGTGAACATGCTTTGGAAGCAGTGTTTCAGTATGTTTTATTCTGATTCATAAATTCACATTACAGTAGGGTTTCTCTAGATGTCTACCGAGACATCTTATTTGCAAAGATAAGAGCGTTTGGGGTACAGAAGTCTAATTTAGGGAACTGCAAGAGCAAGTCTTTTTTTTTTTTTTTTTTTAAAAACTTCTTTTTCTTTTTTTTTTTTTAAGATTTATTTATTTATTTATACAAGCACTGGGTACAGTCAGAAGCACGGGAGGGTGAGAGAATTCACCAGAGCCAGAGCGGGGAGCAGAGCAGGCAGAAGGACCGAAGTACACTGCTGAGGGGAGCAGCGGGCGGCAGGAGAGGTCTGCTCGCCATGTGGGACCCTCCTCCAGTGGCCGGGGAGCAGCCGGGGATCGAACCAGTGCTGCAGAGGCTGCGGGCAGCTTCACAACCCAGCGCTCAACCGCTGCGCCACCGGGGAGGCCCCAAGAGAGCAAGTCTTAAAATGTATGCTTAAGAATTAGGGATAGGGTTCTCATTTGTGATAAAGAGGCAAGTAAGAATGTATAATAATAGGTATACTATGAAGATACTAAGATATATACAAATATGAAGTTTTTGATCACAAAATAGACTTGACTTCACTTCTGGCAAAGGTCCAACTCTTGAGGCTCTGTTGACTTGCATAAAAGAAGTAGTACTAATAGTTTTATTTATGCATTTTTTTTTATATAGAGGCATGTTTTATTTATTTGTTTGTTTGTTTGTTTGTTTTGTTTATACATGCACTGGGTACAGTCAGAAGCGCGGGAGGGTGAGAGCATTCACCAGAGCCAGAGCGGGGAGCAGAGCAGGCAGAAGGACCGAAGTACACTGTTGAGGGAAGCAGCGGGTGGCAGGAGAGGTCTGCGCGCCATGTGGGACCCTCCTCCGGTGGCCGGGGAGCAGCCGGGGATCAAACCGGTGCCACAGAGGCCACGGGCAGCTTTGCAACTCAGCGCTCAACCGCTGCGCCACCGGGGAGGCTCTTATTTATGCATTTTTTTAAAGATTTATTCATTTATATATACAAGCATTGGGGTACAGGCCAGAGGTGTGAGGGGTGAGAAGATTCACCAGAGACAGAGCGGGGAACAGAATAGGCAGATTGACTGAAGTACACTGCTGAGGGGGAGCAGCGGGCAAGTCAGGAGAGGTCTGCTGCGCCATGTGAGTCACCAACCTGGCAGGGGAATTGAACTCATGCTGCAGTGGCTGCAGATTGCTTCATAGTACTGTGTCTTAATCCCTTACACCACCCGGGAGGCCCCTTATTTATGCATTTATTGTGTATTTTTTCTTGAGTTTTTCTTTCTTTTTTTTTTTTTTTTTAATTTCCCACAGGCTTTTGTCTGGATTCTCCCGGACCTTTGGACAGTAAAGAAAAGTATGTATTTGTTACCTTTTTTTTTTTTTTTAAGATTTATTTATTTATACAAGCACTGGGTACACTCAGAAGTGCGGGAGGGTAAGAGAATTCAGCAGAGCCAGAGCGGGGAGCAGAACAGGCAGAAGGACCAAGGTACACTGCTGAGGGGAGCAGCGGGTGCTGCAGGAGAGGTCTGAGTGGGATCAGAGGTCAGGCGGCCAGGGATTGAACCAGCACTACAGAGGCTGCAGGCAGCTTTGCAACCCAGCACTCAACCGCTGCGCCACTGGGGAAGCCCTGTATGTTACTTGTATTTACTTATTTATTTATTTATTTATAAAGATTTATTTATTTATTTATACAAGCACTGGGTACAGTCAGAAGCGTGGGAGGGTGAGAGAATTCACCAGAGCCAGAGCGGGAAGCAGAGAAGGCAGAAGGACCGAAATACACTGCTGAGGGGGGCAGCGGGCGGCAGGAGAGGTCTGCGCGCCATGTAGGACCCTCCTCTGGTGGCCGGGGAGCAGCCGCGGGGATCAAACCAGCGCTGTGGAGGCTGCGGGCAGCTTCGCAATCCAGCTCTCAACTGCTGCGCCACTGGGGAGGCCCTGTATGTTATTTATTTTTTTTTATTTTTTATTTTTTTAAAGATTTATTTGTTTATTTATACAAGCACTGGGTACAGTCAGAAGTGCGGGAGGGTGAGAGAATTCACCAGAGCCAGAGCGGGGAGCAGAGCAGGCAGAAGGACCGAAGTACACTGCTGAGGGGAGCAGCGGGCGGCAGGAGAGGTCTGCGCGCCATGTGGGACCCTCCTCCGGTGGCCGGGGAGCGGCCGGGGAGCAGCCGGGGATAGAACTGGCGCAGCAGAGGCTGCGGGCAGCTTCGCAACCCAGCGCTCAACCGCTGTGCCACCGGGGAGGCCCCCTGTATGTTACTTTTAAATGTTTGTTTAAGAAAAGAACTTCTCTTAAAAAAATTTTTTTTTTTTTAAGATTATTTTTATTTATGCATACAAGACCTGGGGTGTAGGCCAAAGGTGCAGGGGTTGAGGATTCACCATAGACAGAGTGGAGAGCAGAACAGCTGGATCTACTGAAATACACTGCTGAGGGGAGCAGTGGGCGAGACAGGAGAGGTCTGCTGCACCATGTGTGTTAGCTCCCTGGCTGTGGATCAAACTCAGGCCGCAGTAACTGGGGATAGCTTGATAGTGCTCAAACTTAACCCCTTGTACCACCAGGGAGGCCCTGGGCTTGCTTTTTTTCAGAAGCCCAAGTGTTATGGGTGCTTGTAAGAACAAGACAACTTCAAGAAATCTGTTCTGTGTTATCTAAAACCTAAAATGGGATTATGTGATTGTTCTGTTACCCAAACCATCGGGCAGACACTATGCATCAGCTAATATGAATATCTCTTTACTTGATTTATTCTCATTTACCTTCTGATTTCATTGCAGCCTTGAAAATCCCATGAGAAGAATAAATTTCCTACCTGTAAGTTAGTTCCCTTGTTTATTTTGAACTAATATCTTTATCTGACCCCTTAAGTACCATTGTGATCTTGATGGTCAACCTTAATTTGGATAGTGAAGACTATTTTTCCTTAGCCTCATAAACACTAGAGCAACTTCAATAATGACTGTTTCTTGAGAGCTTTTCTTTCCATCTCTAAATACCAGAGTTTTATCAAACCAGTAAGTATTGGATGTTACTTTGGGCATGATTTGTCATACTAAATCCCTACTGTGAGAGGGCTTTAGACCCTGTGAGGTTAAGTATAAAGCCATGTAGTGGGAAAGTTGTATCCTATGTTCTGACAAGTGGAGGTCTGGCCACATTTACTGCTTACCTACTTCCGTATGAGGAGCTAGGCCTTCCTTTGCTCTCCTTTTCTTTTGAGAACTATTTCCATGAAATAGTCATTTATGTACCTAATTCCTTTTTTCATTTCGATAGCAGAAGCTCTTGGGGTGTAGCCCAGCTCTGAAGAGGAGCCATTCTGATTCTCTTGACCATGATGTCTTTCAACTGATTGACCAGGATGAGAACAAGGAAAATGTGAGTGCGGCATCAATATATTAACCTAGGGCAGAGGTAAAACTCACCAGTGTAGGTGGCTTATAAATAAGTGACTGGATTGCTTTCTGGGAGACTAAATCTTCACTAAAATCATGCATGGTCTTTGGAGTCATTTCTTTGTAAGATAGAAGTAGTAGTACCTTATGGTGTTGTGGATTACAATAAGATTATATTGTATATGTATATATATAGATATGTGTATAGATAGATAGATAGATAGATAGGGCTTTTTAAATGGCTCCTGGCGTGTGGGAATTGTTCAGATGATAGCTCTTGGGAGTAATTATATCTATGAATAATTTATCTGTTTAGGGTCTCCCCTAGCTTTCCTTGCTTCTTTGCATTGCCCCTGGGATGAGTTGTAAGCTCAGGAAAAAACTTCTTGGCAGTATCTGAAAGAATAGGGCCAGGGCCTCCCTGGTGACACAGGGGTTAAGTCTCAGCACTATCAAGCTATTGCCAGCTACTGTGGCAAGAGTTCAACCCCTGGCTAGGATCTGTCTTGCCTGCTGCTCCCCCCAGCAGTATATTTCAGTATATCTGCCTGTTCTGCTCCCCACTCTGTCTCTGGTGAATCCTCTCCCACTCCCACCTCTGGACTATACCCAGGTCTTGTATGCATAAATTTAAAAAAATAAATCTTTAAAAAAAGAATAGGGCCAACAAGTGCCAGGGAATATCTATAACTGGTATCATCACTTAAATGGTAGCTTACGGGGTAAGCTGTGGTCTATCCAAAAGTCCAAAAAACACCCCAGTGAGGCTTTTTCTCACACCTGACTGGCTGCCCTGCACAGGATTGGCCTCCAATATCATTCTATGAATTAGCTCAACTTTTCCAGCCTAATGTCTCACCACATTCCCATATTTATTTCCCACCACTTTCCATTCCTGCTAAAATGCCACAGGTCATAATCTTTATAATGTTACAGACTTATTTTAAAACTTGCCTCCCAATTGATGATTCCTTTGGCAGTTTGCAAGATTTTCTGAGAAATAATACGGAAATGAGCTCCAGCCTTGAGCACTTGTAATACTGCTTTACCTCTGTGTAGTACTTTCTAGTAAACAGGCTAACACTGTCTGAATACCTAGTTTCTTCCTCAGCCCCCCTAAACTTGGCTTCTCCCAGAATTGCTTACTTGGACTTTGGTCTAGATTATAGGTTTAGAAGAGCTTTTGTACTAAAGTCCTATCTAGCCTTATAATAATCTCAGGGACAACTTAAGGCCTAATGTCCCAACTGTAAAATGGGAATAATTAGGTTGTGGTTGATAGTTAAATGAGTTAATGCACAGAAAGTGTTTAATATTGTGTTGGTATACCGATATTCTATGATATGACCTGTTACTGCTTCAGGCATTTAATGACAGATTCTTGGGTGGATATTTTGGGGTAGGGGATATTATGAGTGTTTTCTTAAACTTTATTTATTTTTAAAGATTTATTTATTTATGCATACAAGAAGTGGGGTACAAGCCAGAGGTGTGGGGTGAGAAGTTTCACCAGAGACAGTGGGGAACAGCAGGCGAGACAGGAGAGGTCTGCTGCTCCATGTGGGTAGCTCCTTGGCCAGCCAGGGATTTGAACTCAGGAGAGGAACTAGTGCTACAGAGGCTGCGGATAGCTTCACAGTGCTGCACTTAACGCCTTGCGCTACCAGGGAGGCTGTTTTTTTAAACTTTAAGTAGATGAAATCATATACTATGTTCTATATCACTTTGGCTTTTTTCACTTCTTTAACTTACCGTGAAAGATTCATTCATGTTGTTGAGTAATGCAGTAGTTGTTTTGTTTGTTTTCTTACTGATTTTAGCAGGGAATGTAATGATTTTTAGTGGAAAAACTTACATCCATTGGTAGGAAGAAGGTGGAGATACAGATCCCTCAAATATATAAATCTAGAATGAATAGGTTTATTCCCATTCATAGGCAATTGAAATGACTTTGCTTTAGATTTTAAAAAGCTGTAGATTTAGCCTATAGCTCAGCATTTTGTATTCTTAGTAGATAATCATGTGTTTATTAGGAAACTTCCTTGAGAAGTTAGCTGTTGACCAAGTCTTTAGAATTCTTAGTTACCAAGATCCAGTGTTGGAATTAGATCATAGATAGGTAAACCCTTAGTTGGAGGCAGGTATAAAGGGGCTCAGTGCCAGCACCCTTGCCTGTCTCACCTGACCTGTATATAGTCCAGGCCCTGGAGCTGCCTTTTTTTTTTTAAAGATTTATTTATTTATTTATACAAGCACTGGGTACAGTCAGAAGCACGGGAGGGTGAGAGAATTCACCAGAGCCAGAGTGGGGAACAGAACAGGCAGACTGATGAAGAAATACACTGCTGAGGGGAGCAGCGGGCTAGGCAGGAGAGGTCTGTCGCGCCATGTGAGAGACTCTTGCCGGTGGCTGGGGATCGAACTGGCGCTGCAGAGGCTGCAGGCAGCTTCGCAGCCCAGTGCTCAATCACTGCACCACCAGGGGAGGCCCTGGAGCTGCTTTTTATAGACAGTGGAAGATATCTCAACCATACTGTCTTGCAGGAAGCCTTTGAGTTTAAGAAGCCAATAAGACCTGCGTCTCGTGGCTGCCTGCACTCTCATGGACTTGAAGAGGGTAAAGATCTCCTTACACAGAGGCAGAACTCTGCCCCAGCTCGGATGGTATGTGCTCTGGCTTTCATAGGGGACTTCCTGATGGGAAGAGAATTAAAGCACACTTAACTAACTTGGAGTAGAAGACACAATAACTTTTACTATCTTTGCTTTGACTTTGTCTTTGAAAGTTAGGCTATTATATTTTTGGTGTTTTTTGCTGTGTCTGGAGAGTAAACTAGCGGAAGCAGAGTAAGATATGGTGTGTTTGAAATACTGGACTTAAGGAATAACTTGACCTTGTCCTTTCTGGGGAAATAATCTGGTTGTTCTTTTATTTATTTAATTTAAAGAGCAGGTTTATTAGAAAGGGGATAGGAGAGTAAAAGACACTTGAATAGACACAAGTGGGCAGGAAGAGCTGCCCCGAGGGAACAGGTTTGCTAAGAGAGGCCTGCATGGTTGCAGGCTGGCGGCCTTGAGAACAGTGGCCTCCGCTGAGGGAGGTCAGTGAAGAGAAGTCCCTGCATGGTACAGGTGACGGGCAGGAAGGAAACTGCTGCCCTGCAGGAGAGAGTTGGTGAAAAGAAGCACTGCATAGTCACAGGTGGACAGACGGAGTGCTGCCTGGTCATTCTTTTAAATGTATGTATGTTCCTTAAAACTTTTATCATGTATCCTGATTGCTAGAGATACTTCCCAGAATGCTTTGTTTGGTGAGAGCACTTGACTACTTCCAAAGGTGGTTTATTGAGAGCTATTATAAGTTCCTGTGAACCTACTGCCTATAGGTTACTTGACAGTATTTGGAGCCCATGGCATTTTATTTGTCAGGCAGATTGTCATTACGCCACAGTTTCCTACTGGTGACCTCACAGTTTTATTTGTAAAGACTGGAGATGCCCAACTTCAGCAAAATGACCACATTTGATTCCCAGGTTTTCCTGGGAATCTGAAAATACCACCTTTCAGTCTGACTTGTGATCTGAGGTTCAGGTCCAGCTGTATTGCTGCTGCTCCATCTAGCATTTGCACACATGAAGTAACTGGATTTTTCCCAGTTTTACTGATTGAAAAAGAGTGATCAGGGCCTCCCTGGTGTCACAGGGGTTAATCTTAGTGCTGTCAAGCTATCACCAACCACTGTGGCATGAGTTCAATCCCCAGCCAGGGATCCATCCCACATGGCGCAGCAGACCTCGCCTGTCTCACCTGCTGCTCCCTTCAGCAACGTATTTCATTAGCTCCACCTGGATCCGCCTGTTCTGCTCCCAACTCGGTCTCTGGTGAATCCTCTCACTCCCCGCACCCTTGGCCTAAACCCAGTTCTTGTATGCATAAATAAATAAAACAAATTAAAAAAAAAATTTGATCAGGGAGGTTGGGTAATTTGCCAAAGGACAGATAAATAGGAAACCAGGATTTTTAGTCTTGCAAGTGAAGACCAGTGCACCAAGTGCTCTTATCTCTTGGCTACCCCTAATTGTAAATGCTGAGGATGCATACTGAAAGCCAGTGCTAATTGTACCTGTTAGACTTTTTATCATGTCTGGGGGTATTTCTTTTGTATCCTTGCTTTAGTTTCTAAACACCACCTATCTTTCCTCATAGTGTCTTCTTATAAGAAGAATCAAGGAGAAAAAATTAGGTTCTGTTGGAGATTTGTCTGAATTTTCTGTGTCACATCTATACCTGGGGGGCAGGAGGTCCCAGAACTGAGGTCACAAAAATTGGTATTATAAGAGTGTAATTCTTCACACTATTATAGTTACCTAGACTCTGTTGACTGAAAAACTGCTTGTTTGCTTAGGTATGCGTAGATGTTCAAGATCAGAGATGCCACAGAACTTGTTTTATGTTGTGAAGCAAAGCTAGTGCCTGAAATAGTGAAGTTTATCTCTAGATGGTAGATTTATGGGTGTGTTTTCTAAATTTTCTATAGTAAATATATATTCACTTTATAATGAGGTTTTCCACAGACTGCCTTCTGAGGTGCCCCATTTGTACTCTAGGAATGTTTTTCTCCTAGGGAGTGAATGTTGGGGAGAAAAGCTTGAACTTTGGAGTCAAAAAGCAGTAAACTGTGATTTTGGTAATCTATTAAACTTTTGTTTCCTGATTTATTAAATAAAAAACTATTTTGTGAGGCTTAAATGGAATCATATATGTAAAGATTATATCATAGTGTCTGGCACAAGTAGTTCCTCAGTTAAAAACTGATCAGCTTCATTTAAATTTCAAGTCCAAAGAACTGGGATAGACTTTCTACAAGCAAACCACCCTTTATTTCTTTCTGTTAGACTACTAGAAAATTAATAAGTGATCACCATAGAGATTTGAATCTTCTCATCTCTCATTTTAGCAAATTATCATACTATCAGTTATACCTCATGTTCATTCCCACTTACCCATTACAATCCTCTGATAAAACAAACCTTGTCTTTCACAAGGGTATCCCTAGATCCCACTGGAAGGTGAATTGCTTCTGGCAATACTTTGTGAACCCTACTAAGCTTGATTCGACTCAGGAGTATTAGTGAACATCAAATCCTTCATATTCTTGAGTATCATTTTCCTTCACTTAGTAGCTGTTAAAATTTTCCTTATGACAAATACAGAAAAATTAGTGACCCATTTAAAGAAACCGAACTGATTATTAACAAGCTATGAATTCTGTCTTGTAGTTTTCCTCAAATGAAAGAGATAGCAGTGAACCAGGGAATTTCATTCCTCTTTTTATGCCCCAGTCACCTGTGACATCCACTTTGTCTGATGAAGATGATGGCTTCATGGATCTTCTTGATGGAGAAAATCTGAAGGTACTCTGTAGTTGTATATGTGTATTTCTTCCTATCCGTTCCACTAACTTCCCCTGGAGAAAATATGTGAAGAACAGTAATTCCCAGGGCTTTTAATAGGCTTTTTTTTTTTTTTTTAGGATTTATTTATTTATACAAGCACTGGATTTATTTATTTATACAAGTCAGAAGCACGGGAGGGTGAGAGAATTCACCAGAGCCAGAGCGGGGAGCAGAGCAGGCAGACTGACAAAATACACAGCTGGGGGGAGCAGAGGTGTGGCAGGAGAGGTCTGTGTGCCATGTGGGACCCTTGCCCTGCGGCCAGGGATCGAACTTGTGCTTCAGAGGCTGCGGGCAGCTTTGCAACCCAGCACTCAACTGCTGCACCACCAGGGAGGCCCTCCCAGGGCTTTAATTGGCTATTTTTGTTCTATTTTAAAATCTTTTTTTTTTTTCTTTTTTTTTTTAAGATTTATTTATTTATTTATGCAAGCACTGGGTACAGTCAGAAGCGCGGGAGGATGAGAGAATTCACCAGAGCCAGAGCAGGGAGCAGAACAGACAAACTGATGAAATACTCTGCTGAGGGGAGTAGCGGGCATGGCAGGAGGGGTTTGTCGCACCATGTGGGACCCTTGCCCTGCGGCCGGGCATTGAACCTGTGCTGCAGAGGCTGCGGGCAGCTTTGCAACCCAGTGCTCAACTGCTGCATCACCAGGGAGGCCCTCCCAGGGCTTTAATTGGCTATTTTTGTTCTATTTTAAAGTCTTTTGGTGAGATTTTTATTGACAAAATTTCTAGCCTGGTTAAATCATATGGGGGCTTCAAAAGAAAAGGCATTGATATGAAACTACTTGCCCTGAAGAAACTTGGCATTATGTTTTTGTGTAAGAGACATGAAGCAGTGGAGACCTAGTTGCCACATGGTATAAAACTATAGAGAAATCTCCTCACATACCCTCCAGAGATACTTTAAGCTATGTTCAGATACCTGCGATTCTCTCTGACCTTAAAATGTTGAAGTGGGAAAGAAAGGTGAACATTAGACGCTTTCTCTCCAGGTCTGTCTGTATTCTTCAGACAGAATTAATACCTAAAGCATTTAAACTAATGTTAGTCTGTGCTCCATCTTTGAATCACTGTTTTCTCTTGCTTTAGAATGATGAAGAGACCCCGTCATGCATGGCAAGTCTCTGGACAGCTCCCCTAGTCATGAGAAGAACTATAAATCTTGTAAGTTGTCCCAGTCTGTCAGGAGGAAGTTTGAATGTTTAACCTTTGGGACAGTGTACTAAACTAAACAAAAAAACTAACCCTATAACCCACATCACAGGAAACCAAAATATTTTCATTTGTGATTCTATCTTAAACTACATAAAAAGTGGTATTGGTTTAGGTTTTAATTGACAGCTTCATGACTGGTCACTTTGTAGCTGGCAAAAAGAATATGCTCTTATGTAACATGAAGACTTTAGCTACAGGCCCATTTACTATATCACTTGACCTAACTAATGGCCCTGTAGCAGACAGCTCTTCCTCAGAGAGTGTTGACTATAAAAAGGCTGAGAACCCAATCCAGGAGATGCTAACTGCCCTATTCTGATGGGTAGGGAGAGAACATACTGGACTACCACATTTTATTTTCCATAGTTGGGAGAGTGTGGAAAATATTGCCCATTCAGAGAACAATCAGAACAAATGAGAAGACTCAAAACTGTTACAGGTATTATGGTCTGATTGAAAAATGTTGACATGGAAAACTTCATTTGAAGAATTGGTATTGTTAAATGCAGTAAAATAACAACTGGTTTTAGACTGAAGAACTTTAGCAGAACTCGGAGTGACCACTACAGGAGTAAGATAGCTGTTTGTTTTGAGCCAGAAAGATGAGTTAAGGTATGGAAAAATCTTTTTTTTTTTTTTTTTAAATACGAACTAGGGTGTAGGCCAGAGGTGTGGGGGTAAGAGGATTCACCAGAGACAGAGCGGGGAGCAGAACAAGGGGACTGACTGAAATACACTGCTAAGGGGAGCAGCAGGTAAGACAGGAGAGGCCTGCTGAGTCATATGTGGGTTAGCTTCCTTACCAGGAATTGAACTCAGGCTGTAGTGGTGATAGCACTGAGACTTAACTTGTAGGCCACCAGGGAGACCCCAAGATATGGAAAGTCTTGAGAATACCACACATATATATGAGAAGGGTGGTTGTCCAGGAAGGGATATTATAGAAGGTGAAACAAGTAGCAGCTCAAGGTTCTTCACAATCGATCGTGATTAGTATCACTTAGCAGTCTAAACTGGGCTGCAGGTATGCATAGTAAGGGCACAAGGTAGTCATTTTTAAAACTTCATTCTTAGAAGAGTAAGATAGGAGGAATGGTTATTTTTCCATGTCTCAGTGGCATAGTAACAGTGGAGTTAAGGTGTACACAGTGGTGTAGCAGCTTATCCGGTTACTGTGACTGTGTTAGAATCATGCATATAGCCACATCCATCTGTTTAATGGGTGGGTATTGTGTACTCTGCAAAGTCAGAATGTCCTTTGGAGCTAGGAAGAAACAGGCGATGAGCAGCCACCTGAATGCTGTCAACAAGTCAGGAGGGAACCCCTAGAGAAGGCATGTTGGAGCAGGGAGTGCAGTTGTATGGCAACTCATAGTGGTGGGGGGTGAGGGGGCACAGAGTCTATTGACTCATGAAATTATATGAGGGAAGAGCAAGTAGCTCAGTGAAGTTGGAGAGCAGAGCAGGCAAGATTGTGGGGCCTTTGACTTATCTGCCAATCTAAGGGGTTTAGACTTGATTTCCCTGGGACTTAGGTTTCTCAGAGTATGATTATGTTAATTGGAGGGGAAGCCTATTGCACCTATCCAGGAAAGTGCTGGAGATTTTCTAAATCATGTGGAGAGGAGGGAATGGATTGAAGGAATCTTCTAAATTAGAATTACTGGTATTTGAGGTGGTAGAGGTAGAGGAAGAAGCCATAAGAATGACAACAGGACAGTTTGAGAGATTGCCTTAAGGTAGGTCCTTGATTTTGTTGGGTGGTTTTTATGTGTGTTTTCTGTTTAATTTCTTCAGAGGTAGAGATCCTCAATAATGCCACTTCAGCTGAGGACAGCCAAAGTTTGAATGGAATGATAGAACCTAGGGAATATGGGTATTAGATTGGGTTTCAGCTACCTTCAAATTGTCCTTGAGGGATGCATTTCTTCTATTTGCATCTTTCCTAATCAGTAAATTTGTGTCAATTAGGAGGGACCAGAATTGTTTCTAACTCTAGAATCCAGGTAGTTTGAAAAAGTTTTATCAGTCAGAAGCCTGTAGTCTGAAGACTATTCAGTTGCTTTTTTTGGATCATTCTTATTTATATTCCATAGCTTAGCTTCTAGCATAATGGTGGGCCATTCACACTAGGGAATTAACCTTCTACAAACACTACAGAATCAGTTGCTGGAGATTGTTGGAGCTAGGGTTTCTGTCCTTGAGGGGCTCACAATTCCCTCTGAGACCCTGCAAAAAGCTGTGGACCCTCTTTCCAAAAACCCTCCCAGCCCTTGTGGGTTAAAAAAAAAATCTCTGATCTTGCTTTTCTGAACATTTTTTTTTTTTTTTAATTTATTTATACAAGCACTGGGTACAGTCAGAAGCGCGGGAGGGTGAGAGAATTCACCGGAGCTAGAGCAGGGAGCAGAGCAGGCAGAAGGACCGAAGTACACTGCTGAGGGGAACAGCGGGCAGCAGGAGAGGTCTGCACGCCATGTGGGACCCTCCTCTGGTGGCCGGGGAGCAGCCGGGGATCGAACCGGCGCTGCAGAGGCTGCGGGCAGCTTCACAACCCAGCGCTCAACCGCTGCGCCACCGGGGAGGCCCGTCTGAACATTCATTTAATGTCAGAAATCTAAGGAGAAAATTCTTAGTCTCTGGGAGAGCCATATAGGGGGGTTCCCTGGGGACAAACAGAAACATTGCAAAGAAGCAGCAATACTGAAATTGTAGTATCAGCTTAAAAAGGACTGGTTTACTGGGATATGAAAGGACAGTTTTGCACTAAAGGAAAAGTCAGGCCAAGGTACACTGAGTTGTGAACAGGCCGTGATAGTTAAAGTTGCTGAAGTTAGACTGTATTGGTCAGATTGGCTACCCTCAGACTCTGGGAAATTATTCTTAAAAGACCAGGTAGAGAGAGGGCTTTTGAATACAATTTTGAGAGACAGTGGCTCCTCTGCTCCCTTCAGACGTCATATTCTTAATTCTTTTTTAACCACCTTACTCATTTTTATTGTATAATCTGGTTAACTCACATCTTTCCTGGATTTAGGAACATACTAAAATCTGTAGAGCTGTTCAAGAAAGGTTAAAGCAATAAAGTACAGGGGAAGAGACAAGCCACAATTGTGTTCCCGGCTGGAAGGTGACATTTAATTGATTCTTAGGACCCTGTGTAGACAGTAAGCTTTTTCTTTTAAAGATTTATTTGTGCATACAAGAGCTGGGGTATAGGCCAGAGATGCGGGGAGTGAGAGGATTCACCAGAGACAGAGTGGGGAACAGAACAGGCAGATGACTGAAATACACTGCTGAGGGGAGCAGCAGGCGAGACAGAAGAGGTCTGCCACGCCATGTGGGTTGCTCCCTGGCCAGCCGGGAATTGAACTCATGCTGCAGTGGTTGCGGATTGCTTCATAGTGCGGTGCTTAGCCTCTTATGCCACCAGGGAGGCAGTAAGCTTTTTGAGGGCGTGGATTGTTTTCCTCATCTCCATAGTAATGTGCCCTTAGTACATGTTCATTGAGCAGCAGGTTTCCTTGACTACTATATGCCAGTCCCTGTGAGTTGCTGGGATCAGATGAATGTTCAGTGTCTGTTTCATAATTTGGGGTGCATCATAGATTATCCAGGAAGCCCTTGGTCAGTTTCAGTTCATTTTCTTTACCATCTAAGTGAGCAGGTTTTAAGGAAAGATTATTTTTCTTCTCCTTTAGGGCAATCGATGCAAGCTGTTTGATTCCCCTTCCACATACAGCTCCACTACCAGGTCAACATTGAAAAGACCAGAAAGATCTCAAGAGGAGTCCCCACCTGGAAATACGAAAAGGAGGAAAAGCATGGCGGGTTCCAGTCCTGGAGAGGCAGCTAGTCCAGAGAAGCCCCAGGAGGTTAGTTGTACAAGTTCTTTTGGTTTGAGGAGAGTCATGCGTATTTTTCTGTTTTAAGTTTCAATCTGGTTCTTTTTCTTTACTGAGACTTGCTGTTTTTGTTTTTCCTTCCATGTTCATAATTCCTTTTGAAGCATTTTTATTATGATGGCTTCTTTAAAGTCAGATTATTTCAACTCTAAGGTGGTCATTTCTTACGTCAAGTTGAGATTTTCTTAGTATGAGCAAGAGATTTTCCAATTATATCCTATACATGTTAGATATTATAAAGCACTCACTGGTCTATGTAAATCTGTTTTTGTAGGCCTCCTCTGATACTGTGGGGAGAGTGGGGTAGAAGATCAGGTTCCTAACACACTCCCTATCACACATGGGATGGTGGAAGCCTCATTGCTAGGCAGGAGTGGGAATTTAAGCTCCCCACAAGACCTCCCCTCCATCGTCCTAGTGGAATGGAGATTGACGCACTGAATTACAGCTGGGCCTGGTTGGAAGTGTAATTTCTCCCCTTGCTGACAGGTTATGGATTAGGGCCATACTTTTTTTTCTTGGGTGTTTGGCTGAAGTGTAGAGTGTTAATTGTTACTGTCTGAAAATTTTTTGTCTTTACAGGCTACACAGGCTACCCTTTTCTTAATCTTTTGGTTAGGGAGAACTGGCTTCTCAGGGTTTCTTTATTTGTACTTACCTGTGGCCTAATGAGTTTGATTTTTTGACAATGGTTTCACCTATACTCAAGGAAAATATATCCTCTTGGGTGTCAAGTTCAGTATATTTAATTCTGTCTAGTCTGCTCAATCTAATAAATTGCACTGTTCAAAGTTGTATGGCTTGTTTTGTGATTCTGTTATTTTTTAACTTTGTCTATTAATAAACAATAATGAGCATCATGTATCTCAGTGCACAAATATAAATTATTTTCAGATAGCTTCATGAGAACCTTATGAATCTGCTCTTTATTATTGGTTAGATTGTTTCTGGTCTTTTAGTACTGTACACATCTATAGTATTCATCATCTTCGCATGTTCACTTTGGGGGGAATAAGTGGGATTGCTGAGCAAATGTTTTGTACACCATATTTTTCTAAAAAGGAGTCAGCAAAGCTTATGCCTGTTCTGTTCCCTGTTCTGGCTCTGGTGAATTCTCTCACCCTCCTGCGCTTCTGACTGTACCCAGCGCTTGTATAAATAAATAAATCTTTAAAAAATAAATGAATAAATAAAAGTGGGATTTTAGGGCCTCCCTGGTGGTTCATGGGTTAAAGACAGCACTATCAAGCTATTGCCAGCCACTGCAGCACTAGTTAGATCCCAGCCTCCGGCCAGGAGCAACCCCACATGGCGCAGCAGACCTTTCCTATCTTTGTTGTTCCCCTCAGCAGTGTATTTCAGTAGATCCACCTATTCTCCCCTCTCTGTCTCTGGTGAATCCTCTCCCCACACCTCTGGCCTACACCCCCATTCTTGTATGCATAAATAAATGTTTTTTTATTTATTTATTTTTTTTTTTGAAGTTTGAGGTCAGGTAATGTAATATTTTCCATTTCCCTCCCTTTTTCTTAGGGTTGCTTTGTCATTCGTGGCTTTTTTGGTGGTTCCATATAAATTTCAGTATTTTTTGTTAGGATTCTTAGAAAACGTTGCTGGTATTTTGATGGGGTTGTGTTAAATTTGTATATCATGTCAGGCAAGACAGTCATTTTGATTATTATTGTTTCTCCCCTTCCTTGAGCAGGAGATATCCTTCCACCTCCTTGTTTTGCTATCTAAGTCCTTTACTCATGTCTTGTAGTTCTTGTATAGTTCTTTTACCTTTTTAGTCAGGTAGATTCTGAAGTATTTAATTGAAGTGTTATAAATTATTTTCTTAATTTCTTCTGCTTCTTGTTTGTTTGGTTTTTGTATGTTGATTTTGTAACTTTGCTGTATACATTTACTGTTTCTAATAACTATTGATGGAGTCTTTAGTATCTTCTGCATATAATGCTATATTGTTTGCAAATAGTGATCGTTTTACTTCTTTTCCTGTGAACATTTTTTTTTATAATGAGATTTTTATTAGGAAACACTGACAAATAAAAAAAATAAATAAAATAAAATAAGTAAAAAATTTCAGAGTATTTTTTATTTTATTTTATTATTTTTTATTTGAATTTTTTTTTTTAGATTTATTTATTTATGCATACAAGAGCCGGGGCACAGGCCAGAGGTGTGGGGAGTGAGAGGACTCACCAGAGACAGTGGGGAACAGAATGGGCAGACTGACCGAAATACACTGCTGAGAGGAGCAGCAGGCGAGTCAGGAGAGGTCTGCTGCACCATGTGGGTCGCTCCTTGGCTGGCTAGGGGATCAAACTTGTGCTGCAGAGGTTACGAACAGCTTCATGAGTTGCATCTTAACCCCTTGCACCACCAAGGAGGCCCTGATCATTTCTTTTATGTATATATTGACCCTTGTGTTTTTTGTTTATTTCTGTATATTTCATTTTCTGGTATTTTTAAGTTCTCTTGTAGGGAAAATCTAAGCATTATGAGAATATCACTGTTTCACCTATCATCTACAGTAAATTTCTTTTTTTTTTAAAGATTTATTTATGCATACAAGAGCTGGGGTGTAGGCCAGAGGTGCAGGGGGGTGAGAGGATTCACCAGAGACAGAGTGGGGAGTGGAACAGGCAAATATACTGAAATACAGTGCTGAGGGGAACAGCAGACAAGTTAGGAGAGGTCTGCTGCACTGAGGGTTAGCTCCCTGTCTGGGTATCAAACTCAGGCAGTGGATGGCGATAACTGGATAGCACTGAGACTTTAACTCCTGTTCTGTCTGGGAGGCCCTACGCTTTAATTTCTTATGGATAAATACCTGTTATGGGACTGGTTGGCATGTGTTTGTTTAGTAGACAGCACCACACACTTTTCCCAAAATGGTTTTATTCAGAACAATGTGTGAGAGTTCCGGTTCCTTACATTCTTTGCTGTTGGCTTATAACTCTGTCTGGTAAGTGTGTACTATCTTGTTTTGATTTTGCATTTCTTGATAATCATGTTTCTTGGTGATAGGTTTTCCTTTTTTGCAAGTTGAGTTTGGTTTGGTTTTGGGTTTTTGCCTATTTTTCTGTCATAGTGTCTCTTATTTGTGTACTTTACATATTCAGATAATAAATGTGTTGGTTTTTTTTTTAATTTAAAAAATAAATCTTTTATTAGGTATCTTTTCCCACTCACTCTAGCTTGCCTTTTGTCTTAATCTTGTTCTTTAGATGAACAGAATTTCTTGAATTTAAGTTATGTTGTAATTTACCATTCTCTTTTTTTTTTAAGATTTATTTTATTTATTTATACAAGGACTGGGTATAGTCAGAAGCACGGGAGGGTGAGAGAATTCACCAGAATCAGAGCGGAGAGTAGAACAGGCAGAATGACGAAGTACGCTGCTGAGGGGAGCAGCGGGCGGCAGAAGTCTGTGCGCCCTGTGGGACCCCCGCCCAGCAGCTGGGGATCGAACCGGTGTTGCAGAGGCTGCGGGTAGCTTCGCAACCCAGCACTCAAATGCTGCGCCACTGGGGAGGCCCCAATCTCTTATTTTATGTTGAGTTTTCTTTTTGTCTACGGCTTAAGAAATCTTTACCTTCCTATGACTAGGCCTTTGGACATGCCCATATAATCCTGAGCTTCCTTGCTACTATGACAGGGAGTTCCAGATCCAGTGTTGATACAAACATTAAGTGGATGTTTTTTAAAATTCTGTGCAGAACTTTGTTCTCATTCTCCCAATTTTGATTTGTTACAGGCTCTACATCAGTCTTTATCCCTGGCATCCTCCCCAAAAGGGACCATTGAGAACATTTTGGATAATGACCCAAGGGACCTTATAGGAGACTTTTCCAAGGTAATTGAAAGCAGATGCAGGGCCTCCCCTGTGGCGCAGTGGTTGAGCGCTGGGTTGCGAAGCTGCCCGCAGCCTCTGCAGCTCCGGTTCAATCCCCGGGCACCGGGTGAGGGTCCCACATGGCGCGCAGACCTCTCCTGCCGCCCACTGCTCCCTTCAGCAGTGTATTTCATCAGTCTGCCTGCTCTATTCTCCCCTCTGATTCTGGTGGATTCTCTCTCTCCCGCGCTTCTGACTGTACCCAGTGCTTGTATAAATAAATAAATCTTTAAAAAAAAAAAAAAAAAAAAAAGAAAGCAGATGCAAGTGGAGCTGCTCTAACTCTATAATGTGGGGTTGGCATAGGAGGAGTCGCCTGGAATTCCCCTCCACCTTTTTTTTTTTTTTAAGATTTATTTATTTATGCATACAAGAACTGGGGTACATGGGCCTCCCTGGTGGTGCAAGGGGTTAAGCACCACACTATGAAGCAATCCACAGTCTCTGCAGCATGAGTTCAATCCCCAGCTGTCCAGGTAGCAACCCACATGGCATAGCATACCTCTCCTGACTCGCCCACTGCTCCCCTCAGCTGTGTACTTCGATTAATCTGCCTGTTCTGTTCCCCACTCTGTCTCTGGTGAATCCTTTCACTCCCCGCACCCCCTGCCCACACCTCTGGCCTGTATCCCAGCTCTTGTATGCATAAATAAAAATAAATCTTTAAAAAAAAAGAACTGGGGTACAGGCCAGAGGTGTGGGGAACAGAACAGGCAGGCTGACTGAAATACACTGTGGAGGGGGGCAGCAGGCGAGACAGGAATTGTCTGTGCCATGTGGGTAGCTCCCTGGCCAGGGATCGAACTCGTACTGTAGTGGCTACGGATAGCTTCATGGGCTGCATCTTAACCCTTTGCACCACCAGGGAGGCCCCTCCCCTCAAGCTTTCTAAGATAGCACTCTGGGGTGCCCCCAAGGGCACTCAGCTTGAAAATTTTATTTATTTATTTATTTATTTATGCACACAAGAGCTGGAGTACAGGACAGAGGTATGGGAAGTGGTGAGAGTATTCACCAGAGACAGAGTGGGGAACAGAACAGGCAGATTGACAAAATACGCTGCTGAGGGGAGCAGCGGGCGAGACAGGAGAGGTCTGCTTCACCATGTGGGATTCTCACTGGCGGGCCGGGAACGAACTGGCCCTGCAGAGGCTGCGGACAGCTTCATAGCGCTGTGCTCAACCGCCTGCGCCACCAGGGGAGGCCCTACCCTTACTCTTTTATTCAGTAATTTAGCTAACATTTATTGAAGCACTTATTATTGTATGCTAGAAAAAGATTCTAAAATGAGATCTAGTTTCTCCCCTCAAAAACCATAAGATGTGGGCCTCCCCGGTGGCGCAGCGGTTGAGCGCTGGGTTGCGAAGCTGCCGGCGACCTCTGCGGCGCCGGTTCGATCCCCGGCTGCTCCCCGGCCACCAGAGGAGGGTCCCACATGGCGCGCAGACCTCTCCTGCCGCCCGCTGCTCCCCTCAGCAGTGTACTTTGGTTCTTCTGCCTGCTCTGCTCCCCGCTCTGGCTCTGGTGAATTCTCTCGCCCTCCCGCGCTTCTGACTGTACCCAGTGCATGTATAAACAAAGAAACAAACAAATAAATAAATAAAAAAAATTAAAAAAATAAAAAAAAAAAAAAAAAAAACCATAAGATGTGGTCATTAAAAGACCTGTTGTACCATGAGGACATGAACCACATGTGTCACATGATCAAGTGAAATAACTGTCATGTAATATATGCAGCAGGCTAAGAGAAATATAAGGGGATTTGTCTCATCTAGGGGGTCTGGGATGTCTTTCAGCCAGGTGGGTTTTTAAGGAATAGAGAAACATACATGGATTAATAGGAAACAACTTTAGTCTGAAGGCTGGAAGAGCAAGCAAAGACCTGTGTGAATCCTTGCTGGTGTGGAATCTTCCATTTGAATGAAGCTGTTGGTTGTGTTTGTTATAATGACCCTGCACATGGCCATGAATGGGTGAGCTTCTGACTCATAGTTGCCCTCTGTGAGTAATTGCTGATGTGCCCATCATTTTGGGCTAAACTGGGTCAGTTTTTTCCATCTCTAAAGCCTAGCACATGTTAGGTGTTGCAATTAAAGATATTGAAATAAGGATTTTGACCAAAGCAGGAGGAAAAGAAAATTTCCAAGGTTTTTTGTATTCAAATCTGGCTATATACCTTATAGGTTTGTGTGAAAATGTCAAGATGTTAATAAAATCCCTAGATGAGTAACTAGCATATATTACTGAGTTAATATTTGATTGGTTTTTTGTTTGTTTTTTAAGCTGCCTCTTACTATGCAGGCAAGCTATATAAATGTTGCATTATAGGCTTTCAGGTTTGCTAAATATCTTCTTTTTGTTTTGTTTTGTTTTCTTTTGTTTAAGGGTTATCTCTTTCATACAGTTGCTGGAAAGCATCAGGATTTAAAATACATCTCTCCAGAAATTGTAAGTCATCCTTTTGGAACATCCCATTTGTGGTTTTTTGAATCTAGTTGTTCCTAGCAGCCAAAGGTGATTCTCCTTGACTTTCTTTTCACAGATGGCATCTGTTTTGAATGGCAAGTTTGCCAACCTCATTAAAGAGTTTGTTATCATTGACTGCCGCTACCCATATGAATATGAGGGGGGACACATCAAGGTATGGATTTCTGAGGCTTTTTGGCAAGTCCCACTGTCATGGGAGGCATAGAAGGAGCCCTAGACAGCATCTGACTTTTAAAGGGGTAGGGTGGGTGACACCTGACTGCTTCTTAGCACACATGGTGGTTATGAAAATGTTTTAAGGAGACAGTCGGTATAAAAGTCCTTTCATTCCCGGTGCATTGAAAGAATGTCTGTACTGCTGTCTACCATATTGTAAATGCTTCCTGTGTTGTCCCTCACACGATCACACCTCACAAATCAAGTGCATTTCTAGGTGATACCAATTGATTTCTACGCCATGCCTGAATGCCCCAGGCTTCTAATTAGGAAAAGCCATTTCTGGCAGCGTCCCAGTCTGTGCCAGGATTAGTGGTGCTTCTGAAGTATGTAGTTGAGTTGAGCCATTCAGAGGTGGATGTTGAGACATATTTTCTGAGAAAGGAAATAAGTGGTTGTGCCATTTTAATTTTATTTTTTTTTTATGATTTTATTTATTTGTTTATACAAGCACTGGGTACAGTCAGAAGCATGGGAAGGTGAGAGAATTCACCAGAGCCAGAGCAGGGAGCAGAACAGGCAGATGAAGTACACTGCTGCGGGGAGCAGCAGACACGGCAGAAGTCTGTCATGCCATGTGGGACCCTCGTCTGGTGGCCAGGGATCGAACCGGCACTGCGGAGACTGTGGGCAGCTTTGCAGCCCAGCGCTCAACTGCTACGCCACCGGGGAGGCTCCCCATTTTAATCTTTTAACCAGTAAAATAGTGTTGAAATACGTAAGGGGGTACTTTAAATATATGTTAGTGTTTGCCACTATCTTATGGCTTTTTAAAGCTACAAATTCACAAACACCACACATAAAGTACACCAGAGCCATAAGATAACTTGAGGTACCCATTCAAAGGTTAGTCTCACAGAATCATTAATGACAGATGTAAAACGCAGAGTGCCAAGAGTCTCTGGTGCTTCACAGGGTGCAGTAAACTTGCACATGGAAGAAGAGGTTGAAGATTTCTTACTCAAGAAGCCCATCGTACCCACTGATGGCAAGCGTGTCATCGTCGTGTTCCACTGCGAGTTTTCTTCTGAGCGAGGCCCTCGTATGTGAGTGTTGCATAGAACTTCGCTTGGGCTGGACTTATGGTGCTTCTGTAGGGTGTAGTGGTATATGGCTCACACCTGGAGCTTACTTTTTAGCATACTGAGCATCCTTTTGTCCATCACAAGTTATTTCTGTTTTTTTTTTGTGTTTTTTTTTTTAAGGATTTATTTATTTATGCATACAAGAACTGGGGTATAGGCCAGAGGTGTATGTGGGGGATGAGTGTATTCACCAGAAACAAGTGGGGAGCAGAACAGGCAGATTGACTGAAATACATTGCTGAGGGGAACAGTGGGCGAGTCATGGGAGGTCTGCTGCACCATGTGGGTAGCTCCCTGGTCAGGGATCGAACTCTTGCTGCAGTGGCTGCAGATAGCTTCATAGGTTGTATCTCAACCCCTTGCACCACCAGGCAGGCCCTATTTCTGTTTTTAGCTTATATACATACCACGTAAATAGATAATACTGAAAAACAAATTCACATGTAATGGATTTTCTCAAATTCTTACCTATTTAGTAACAATTTTATGAAGCTACTTTGAAGCTTCCATGGGTTGGGCAGTAAGAAACCACCAGCCAGGTGAGGATATGGAAAAGAGTATTCAATCCAGGCTTAGGTTGCAAGTATGTACCCTGAGGCAGGAGCAAGCTAAGCCTTTTTAAAAGCCACAGGAAAAAAGAAGCCCAGTTATCTAGAAGAAGATAGGGAGAGACACTGATAGAGAAGGAAGCTGGGGAATGTGGCAAGATGAAGAAAATAGTGAGTAGCTAGGTCATAGGCTGTCAACTCAGGCTAGATTTAAGTGATGTCAGGGAGAATGCTGGCCAAGGTTAGATACTACAGACTTGTTTCACTGGGAGCAAGGGAAGTTGGAGAGGAGACTGCTTTACCTGGCGGTGGCACTGTCTGAACTTATTCCTAAAGCTCACACATGGCCCGAAACTCGACACTGATTATTTCCAAGAATGAATATGAAGTTTGGAAGATGTGTGTAAGGAGTACCTACACTACTCCTTACACTGTGTTGTCCTTTTCATGTGTTCCTGTATGGAAAGAACTAACTTTGCTTTGGCTCTTATTCTTTATAGGTGCCGGTATGTGAGAGAGAGAGATCGACTTGGTAACGAGTACCCCAAACTCCACTACCCTGAGCTGTATGTGCTGAAGGGCGGATACAAGGAATTCTTCCTGAAATGCCAGGTAAGATGTGAGTGGAGAGTATGGTCCACTTCTTGCCCAGGTTGGATATGGGGTCTGTCTGGTGGTTTTGGCTGTTTATTACTACTGGGGCCTGGGGTTTAGCTGTGCGAAAAGAAGAGCCCTAGGAATCACAGGCAGATCAGATTGCTGCTTCCAGCCTTGCAGCCCCAGACAGGGAGGGAGCTAGATTGTGAGTGTGAGACAGGTGGATTCTGACCTTATCCTCACTTGTACCCCAGTCTCACTGTGAACCCCCCAGCTACCGGCCCATGCACCATGAGGACTTTAAAGAAGATTTGAAGAAGTTCCGTACCAAGAGCCGGACCTGGGCAGGGGAAAAGAGCAAAAGGGAAATGTACAGTCGTCTGAAGAAGCTCTGAGAGCTGCGGTGCTAGGCAGCAGCAGCCAAGCCTCTCTTCCTTCCTCCTTTTCACCCTCTTTGCTGCAAAGAAACTTGAGCAAAGAGGCCAGCTGACATTTGGAGAGAGGGCCTGGGGCTTCCATGCTTTAAACCTACTTCCCACACTCCCACAATTGGAGCCCAGACCATCTTGCTGGCCATGCCTCTTCTGTCCCCTGTAAGATGTCCTCCTCCTGCATCAGGACTGCTCTGCCAGGGCTATAGTGCCACAGCACAGTTCTGAGCACCAAGTCCAGATGTTCAAACTCTTCATTCCCTGCAGCTGGATGAGCCACTTGGGGCCTTACTGGGCACTGGCCTTCATTCTTGAGGGGAGGGGAGGAAAGTGGAAGTGGAGAGAAGTTACACAAACAGAAATGCTGCTGGCCAAATACCAAAGACAGCCTGGGAAGGAAAGGTCTTTTTGGGATAACCCATATCTTTAATTTATTCAACATCATCAATCACTTTATTTTTTTTAAACTCCTGGAGACTTATTTAACTGCTTCTTTAGGTCAAAATACTGCCAATCTAGGTAGGGTTTTAGCATCCCAGGGGCTACCTCTGCTTTTAATTTAAAAAAAAAAAAGAAAGAAAGGAGGGGGGAAGAAGAGGCAAACTTGTGAGTTGTGGGACAGAGAATTAGGAGCTCTGTCAACCCCAGGAGGCACTGCGGTACTGGGGCTGCTGCTATTTAAAGTCAAGAACTGAGATACTTACTGGTGGGAGCAGGCACTGGACTCAGGCTTGGCTACGGGACATAAGCTAAACTTCCCAGACCTACCTCGAAGGCAATGAGATCTTTTTGGGGGGAGGTCACCCTGCCCTTCCTCTCCCCAGTTCCCTGTGATGTTGGCTGGTATAGGAGTCAGTCAGGAAAGCACTTCAGGCAGCTTCCATTTGGCCATCCCAGGTCAGTGTTGGAACAAAGTAGTTTAGGTACCCCAAAGTAGGGGGACAGGGATGGGTGGGCTCTGTGGGACGGGGGAGGGGAGTATACACTGAGTGTCTTCCTTCAATTACTCTGATACTCTTTGATAGCTTTTACTTTAATTTTTTAAAAATAGTCATTTATGAGTCAAAGAGTATCAAATCAGTGTAAGCTGGGCCACCCAAGGGTGGAGAGAAGGGCTGGAAACCCTGGTCATGACAAAAAAGGTGTGGGTGCTGGCATAGAGATGACCGCGTAGAATGTGTTTCTCAGGAGGCAGCGTGGTGGATTTTGAAGGTGAAACTTTCTGAGTTTATCATGTTTTAATTTGAGGGACAGGAAGTGATGGATCATCACCCTCCCCTCATCTAACCCCATGGAAGTGGGGGTCTCAAAGGAACACCTCCCATCCAAGGAGCTGGGGCTGATTTGATTGAGTCTAGATAGGCCTGTTTGGTCCCTGCTCATCCCCACTCCTAGGTGCTAGCCTCCGCACCACCTTTGCTCCATTGGGGTATAGCCAACTTCGTCTTATACACAAGAGTCAATCTCCCCTCTTGCCTCTGCTTTCTGTTCTGGAGGTAGGGAGGGAATCAATGATATTGGAGATGACTAGTTGCTGTGTTATGGGTTTGAGTTGCATTTGGCTATAAAACAATCTTGTTAGAAAAAGTATGTGGGGAGGAGGGGAACAAAGGGGAGAGGGAAATGACCTCTTCCCCCACACACATTGAGATACATCGCAGTTGGTCTCTATAATCTTATTTGTAGGGATTCTGTTGGTTGAATGCCAGAACAGGGAAGTGGGATGACCTTCAGATTGTACCAACTTAGCTAGCTTTGCAAACCAACTGTTGTAGTCTCTGAAAATAAAAACAATCTTGAACCCATGTTCTCAGCTTGGTTCTTATGGATTTAAGAAGTTTGTTTCATTGTAAGGTTTTAGGATCAGAGTGACTAGGGCAACCACATTTCCTTATGAGGCCACAGTTTGCTCATGTGGCCTGGCTTCAGAGATGGCTGGAATAACCTTCAATTATTACTTTGACTCCAAAATATTGTGACTCAGATTGACTTGTAAGATGAAATAGGTACATCTGAGTTTTGCCTGAACCACTGACATTTCCTTACAAGACCTGTTAATTCATATGGATTTAGCCATAAGCCAAGGAGAGACCCTGGAGGAGTTTTAATTGTGTTCTAAAGGAGTTAGTTACAAAATGAAAAATCAAATGTTGACAAGTCATTTGTCCACATACAACCAGAGAAACTTGAAAATGTGGTGCTGGGCTAGTAGTGAATTATTCACCAAAGTGAGAAACAGCTGGGACAAAGGTTTTTACAAAATAGGGTAGTCCTAGGGATAGAAAGTAACTTGTGTTTATATGTGTGTCCAAACAGTAGTGACTCAAGCATATTTGATAAACTGCTTTAAATATTTAACAAATACTGCGATATAAACTATTTCACCCATGATCCAACCTCAAGTTAAACCTCATTTAGATAATGTATTCCTTTCTGATTTGCATTACAAGAACTAAGACAATGTATGAAGAAAGTCTAGCACTACTCTGCAGTAAGCTTTAGGTTGGTGAGTTTACATCTTGTGAAGACTTGGAGGAGAGAATATTCCACATAGTACCAAAAGGCTCACATTAAACACTAATCTCCCTCATCTAACACCTCATTTCTTCCAGGTTGTTTTGTTTTGTTTTTTAACTACCAAAGAGACTGCATGTTCAAGTATTCCTCCCACCCTACTCTACATTCAATAGTTTCTGTATTTTTCAGAGTACATACGGAATATCTAAAGATGACTGCATATGAGGTCATGTGGTTATATTCTAATGCATCCCATATGCCTCCAAAACAAGAGTTTTTGAGACGATACAGAGATTTTTTTTTTAATTATTTATTTATACAAGCACTGGGTACAGTCAGAGGCGCAGGAGGGTGAGAGAATTCACCAGAGCCAGAGCGGGGAGCAGAACAGGCAGAAGGACTGAAGTACACTGCTGAGGGGAGCAGCGGGCGTAGCAGGAGAGATCTGCGCGCCATGTGGGACCCTCACTGGCAGCCGGGGATTGAACTGGCACTGCAGAGGCTGCGGGCAGCTTCGCAGCCCAGCACTCAACCACTATGCCACTGGGGGAGGCCCTCAGATTTTTTTTTAAAGATTTATTTTATGTATTTATTTATTTATTTTAAAAAGATTATACAAGCACTGGGTACAGTCAGAAGCGCAGGAGTGGGAGAGAATTCTCCAGAGTGGGGAGCAGAACTGGCAGACAGACAGAGGACACTGCTGAGGGGAGTAGCGGGCGGCAGGAAAGGTCTGCGCGCCATGTGGGACCCTCACCCGGCGGCCAGGGATCGAACCAGCGCTGCAGAGGCTGCGGGCAACTTCGCCACCCCTATTATTATTATTATTATTATTATTATTATTATTTAAACACAAGAGCTGGGGTACAGGCCAGAAGCGCAGGAGGGTGAGAGGATTTACCAGAGACAAAGCAGGGGAGCAGAACAGGCCAACAACTGAAATAACACTGCTGAGGGGAGCAATGGGCAAGGCAGGAGAGGTCTGTCCCGCCATGTGGGAATCTTCCTGGCCGGATGGGAATCAAACAGGCTGGGGACAGTTTCACAGCCCTGTCCCACCAGGGAGGCCCCAGTTCAGATTTAAATTAGACCACTTAAACTTTAGATTTTATGGTGAAAGACAGCTAAATATCTACTTTTAATTAATATTTGCACATTTAAAGCACGTAGAAAATATTCACGTGCTTTTTCTTAACTTTTAGAATAAAATAATTTTATCAAAACATCATCAATTTCTGAACCATTTACTAATTTCCTTAAACTCTTATTCAAGTTAATTAAGATAGCATCTAGGTTCCTAGTTCATTATGAAAAGCTATCCCAAGGGCCTCCCTGGTTGCACAGGAGTTAAGTATCAGCACTATGTAGCACTTACTGAGTTCGAAGTGGTGGGGGACTGGCTAGGACAGGATGTTAGGACTTTGGGCAGAAAGTGGGAGTGGAGTCAAAGGGAGAAGGAAAGATAAGGTAAAGCTTCCCTCTCGGTGGCTGTGCCACCGACCTTAGTGAACAAATGCTGCCCTGTAATGGGGAGGGGTGGAGTGACAAAGAGAGGCAGAAACAGCTGTGTGATCTCTGAATTGTGACTCCACAGCATGGCAGGGAGTTGGAATTATCTTGAAGATTCTACAATCTTGATCTGAAATCTTGATTTCCAAGTGTTGCTGCCTGGAAGTCGTTTAAAGCACAGTCCAGTCTAGGGCCCCCTGCTCTTACACTCCCATGACCCAGACCTGGCTGGGAGCTCATTCCAAGGAGCTGATGGCAGCTCTTTTCCAGGCAAAGGCCTATCGCCTCCACCCACAGGCCTCCTTTGTTCTTTCCCTGCTGGGCTTCTTAATGCGACTGCTGCTATAGCCAGGGCTTGCCACCAGATGGCGATGGTACCCCAGGTCAGACTCCTCACACATGGGCCTTCCAGCTTTTCTTCCCTGCCCACTCCTACCCGCCCCTTTCCGGAAACAGCAACCGGGAGGAACTGAGGACCCTGCAGGAGTTTCCCCACCCCATTCTGGCTCCCACCTACATTTAAGGGCACCCTACCTGCCCTGAGTGCAGGTAAAGCTGTGGCTGTTTAGGCTGTGGTTTCCCAAGGCTTAGTTCCAGCATATGGTTCATGTAGCAAAAAACAAGGGCACCAAAAGGAGAAGCACAAAGGGTAGGGGTTGGATTATTTCAATATATTTTCAATAAATTCATCAAAGTAGTCTTCATGGAAGGACATCAGATTTTGTTAGGTTTGGCTTTTTTTTTTTTTTTTATAGAGGCATGTTTATTTATTTATTTATTTGTTTGTTTGTTTTTGTTTACACATGCACTGGGTACAGCCAGAAGCACGGGAGGGTGAGAGAATTCACCAGAGCCAGAGCGGGAAGCAGAGTAGGCAGAAGGACCGAAGTACACTGCTGAGGGGAGCAGCGGGCGGCAGGAGAGGTCTGCGCGCCATGTGGGACCCTCCTCCGGTGGCCGGGGAGCAGCCGGGGATCGAACCAGCGCCGTAGAGGCCGCGGGCAGGTTCGCAACCCAGCGCTCAACCGCTGCGCCACCGGGGAGGCCCTGGCTTTTTTTTTTTTAAGATTTATTTATGCATACAAGAACTGAGGTGTAGGCCAGAGATGCAGGGAGATGAGAGGATTCACCAGAGACAGAGTGGGGAACAGGACAGGCAGACTGAGACAGAAAAACATGGATCAGAATCCTAAGAAGAAATCCATAGCTGGGCACATAAGACAGAACCTTAAGCATGTGCCAAACGGAAGGCCAGCACACTAACACTGCTCAGTAGCAGCAATGGAAGACTAAAGATTGGGATGCCTTCTACAAAGTACATCTAGTCTCTCTCAACCTAGAATAGTGTAACTACTTGCAAGAATGAGAGTAAAAGAATCACAGATAAACAAAAACATGTTTTCCCCACCTAGAGAGTTGAACTAGATGAACTTCTAAATGATACACTTCACAAACATGGGAAAGAATCCCAGAAAGTATATAATGTAACAGGCAATGGGGAGCAAACAGGAAGGTACACATGCATATGTAAATTCAAATAGACCGTTTGATTCTGGGAATGGGAAATGCGGGCATCTATACTCACAAATCCCCTGCTAGGCTGTGTCCTAGGGGTCAGGTTCTATGGCCAAATAACACACTAACTTCTAGGGTGTTCCATAGCATCATAATACTGCCATTGAAAATCTGTCCAAGAATCTGCCCTGGTAGACGACCTCTCCTGTCTCTCCCTCTGCTCCTTTGCAGGGTGCTCAATAAACCCACCTTTTCTGTTCTCCCCTCCCCCCTAAAAAACAATCTGCACCAACCTACTCATGAGTGGTTACAGAGAGAGGATGTTCAGATTAAGGAAGGTAACTCTGATTTCTGTCTTCTAAGATATTTTGTTTTCTTGTGTTTTTTTTTTTTTTTTGATTTATGTATTTATTTATGCGTACAAGAACTGGGGTACAGGTCAGAGGTGTGGGGGTGTGTGTGAGAGGATTCACCAGAGACAGTGGGGAACAGAACAGGCAGATTGACTGAAATACAATGCTGAGGGGAGCAGCGGGCGAGACAGGAGAGGTCTGCTGTGCCATGTGGGTAGCTGCTCCCTGGCCAGGAATCGAACTCGTGCTGCAGTGGCTGCGGTCAGCCTTATGGGTTGCATCTTAACCCCTTGTGCCACCAGGGATGCCCTCTTTTTTTTTTAAGATTTATTTATTTATGCATATAAGAGCTGGGGTGTAGGCCAGAGGTACAGGGGGTACAGGATTCACCAGAGGCAGATAGGGTTGCAGAACAGGCAGTATTTATTTATGCATACAAGAGCTGGGGTGTAGGCCCGAAATACTGGGGGTGAGAGGATTCACCAGAAGAGAGAGGGGAGCAGACCAGGCAGATCTACAGAAATACACTGCTGAGGGGAGCAGTGGGCAAGACAGGCGAGGTCTGCTGTACCTTGTGGGTCACCTCCCTGGCCAGGGTTCAAACCCGTTCTGCAGTGGCTAGGGATAGCTTCATAGTGCTGTGTCTTAACCCCTTGTGCCCCCAGGGGGGACCCCTTGTAAGACATTTCTAAAGTGGTATGACTATTACTTAGGAAAGGAAGGGAGGGGAGGGGGGAAAGAGAACATTTTCAAATACAAGCAATCTAAAAACTGGGATTTTACTTTGAAACCACAGGCAAGTGAACCTGGGAACCTATCAGTCATGAGGTGCTTATTTTTCATTATAAACCTTCATGGCTTCCAGTTGCAAAAACAGAGGCTTCAAGTTGGCTACAAAAGAAAAACCATCCACCTCAGTCTAGTTTCAGTGTTTTTTGTTCCTAGTTAAAAAGTTCAGAATTTCTAAAGTAATGCCCACTCACTATAAAAAATAAAACAACAGGGAAATGCATACAAGCCTCACTGCAGTACCCAGCCTAATCCCAAATTCCTGTCTTCACTTTCATGTGTACTTTTCTAAATCCCTTCTGTTTTTCTTTTATCTTTTTATTTCTAGACCTCTTTTATGCCATTTTGTAGGCATTTATAAAAAGATACATTTCTATTCTTTGTATTATATACATGTAAATGTATATGGATGCATGTCATCTATAATTAGATTTTTTTTTAAAGATTTATTTATTTATTTATTTATACAAGCACTGGGTACAGTCAGAAGCACAGGAGGGTGAGAGAATTCACCAGAGCCAGAGTGGGGAGCAGAGCAGGCGGAAGGACCGAAGTACACTGCTGAGGGGAGCAGTGGGCAACAGAAGTTCGCGCGCCATGCAGGACCCTCCTCCGGTGGCCAGGAGCAGCCGGGGATCGAACCGGCGTTGCAGAGGCTGCGGGCAGCTTCGCAACCCAGCACTCAACCGCTGCGCCACCAGGGAGGCCCTAATTAGATTTTACTAGAAGTATATGTCATGTAAGTATATACAAATATATGTGTATGTGTGGACTACATATACTTTTATCTATATATCTACATTTAGATATCTGTGATACAGATATTTAAAGTATATATACCTCAAAATATCTTGGTGACATTTTCACTCTAGGGTATATCCTGTATAAACACTTAGGATATGCATGGTTCTATATACCAGTGAATAAGAATATTTACTAAAGCTGGGCCTCCTCGGTGGCGCAGCGGTTGAGCGCTGGGTTGCGAAGCTGCCCGCAGCCTCTGCAGCGCCGGTTCAATCCCCGGCTGCTCCCCAGCCACCGGAGGAGGGTCCCACATGGCGCGCAGACCTCTCCTGCCGCCCGCTGCTCCCCTCAGCAGTGTACTTCGGTCCTTCTGCCTGCTCTGCTCCCCTCTCTGGCTCTGGTGAATTCTCTCACCCTCCTGTGCCTCTGACTGTGCCCAGTGCTTGCATAAATAAATAAATAAATAAATATTTAAAAAAAAAAAAAAAAGAATAAAATTACTTT